CTATTACCATTCACAATACGTGCTTTAATTTCATTAGTTACTGAATTTATAGTATTAATCTGTGAACCCAGGTAATTAAAATTCTGCACATGTTCAAAATTATAATGTCCTATTCTCAATTTATTTGTGACATTTCTTGCTGCTCTTGTAACTTTCATATATTTTGTTTTCGATTCATTTATTTTTAGCCCCCTTAATTGTGTTTCTTCTATCAATTTTAATAATGTTTCTTCCAGTGCAGCTTTATTCCTGCTAATAATAGCTATATCATCTGCATATGCACTCACGTGTATTGATTTTATGCCTAGGAGCGTGAATCTAACCATTCAAATTTATCTAGTAGCAAGAGTTGCGTCCAGAATGCGTGGTTTTTAGTCACGTGATAATTTTAATGTGTTTCTTAAAAAAAACTTATACAATTAAAACAGATGAAGAACGATTGTGTGAGAGTTTGTATCATGGGCGTCTGTACTGTGTTCTAGTTTCATGGGGGCCCTTGAAGACACCCTGAACATCTTAGTCCTGGGCCACTTCCTAGTCATCGTCGGAGCGCTCTGCTTCGGCGTTATATCTGCTGTAGCGGTATGATTAAAATGCGGAAAAAAAAAAATACGGAACAGAGTTTCGGAAGAAAATGAATGATGATTCTTGAAACCAGAGTTTCTGTGTTTCAGATCTGGGGAAACGCGGGAGATTTGCTGCAAATTATATTGGTAATGTGTAGCATAACCGCGCAACTCGGAATGTACTGCTGGTTCGGAGAACGGCTTACGAATCAGGTACTGTAAACCTTCAAGAAACAAAAATACCTCATGTGTAGCTAAGTTGCCTAACCCGAAGATTTAATGTTGCTGATATAGTAACATTTCGCCCCCTCCCCCTCAGACTCCTGTCCACTTTGACAACCCATTAGGTTTCATTAGCCTAATTATCTCATCATCTTCGTCTTCTTGGTTTTCCAAGTAGTCGTTTTACAAACGGATTCTGAGACACTGACGTTTTAGGACGCGCGCAGAATCGCAGTCGTGAGTATTTTGATGACTTGGTGAACACTTCACGGACAATAATCGTTCTGGAGAAGCTGATATTCGCTCAGCTGGACAAAAAAAAAATTCCCCCGAATGTTCATTACCGCATTCACTACAGCTCTTCACTGGTCCGCAGCCAGCTGAAACCAATCAGCAAAACCCACACGCTATTTCTCTAAGGTACGTCTTTATACTACGCTCACAACAACGACTATTTTTCGTAAGTGATCTTTTTCAGTCAAGTTTTTGTGTGAAATTTTGTAAGCAGTCTGTTTCTCCCTTCACGTACGAGTTCTAAGTGTTCTGCCCATCGTCAGACGTATCTTTTCTTACGTTCACATAATCAATGCAACTGTATTCGGAAAGATAGCATAATCACCTTTCACCGACCAAGAATCTGGCCTGTCCAGGTTGAGAATTACTTCTGAAGCTATTTGTTAGTCCTCATACGGCATCTGATAGTACTCCCTGTATGGAAGATCAGTCTATCGGAAGGCTGTACCTTTGTAGGACAACGCAGAACACAAAAGCTGGCAAATACTTGTACCGTGGAGCGAGATTCAAACACGCGATTCTAGTGTAACAGTGATCCAACAGCATTCACTGCATGAACCACGAAATCTGTTGTGCCAACTACGACAATTCGTGTCTTAAATGTCTTCTTCCCGTTCTCAGGCTGAGGGCGTTAAGCAAGCCGTCTGGGAGAGCGAATGGGTAGGAGCACCCCTCCAACAACAGCGCGATCTGGCGTTCGTGATGGCCGAGGCGAACAAACAGTTCGTCCTGACGGCAGGGGGCTTCACATCTCTGTCACACCACACACTGATCATGGTGAGTTCGGTGTTACCAGGAACAGCCGTCCATTGACCAAGCTTTAGGCTTGAAGATGGAAGAGATATGTTTCTCCGAAACGTTGGCATGTACCAACGAGTTTACACCCAAAACCCAGAAGAACAACAACAAATCGAACGTCGTGGTCGAGTACAAAACAACCCTGCTTCGTGATCCTGGCTGCGGGGGGATTTTCGTACTTTTACTCAGACCCTCCAGGCAAATTCCGGTATAGTACCTTAACTTAGTCCACGACCGCTTCCTTCCACACCCTTTCCAGTTCATTAATTAAATAAACTTCAAGTAAAACATTAATCAATACCTTGGTCATATTAGGGGCTCAATACCACCCGGAAGGGTCTGGGACAACTCTAGAAACAAAAGAAAAAGTGTTTCATAATTCTACCCGTTGCGTATTAGTCCGAAACGTCTGCTCATCCTTTGGGTGCCTGAGGAAAATATCTGGAAACAATAAATCTGAAGCAATGGGACGACCGAGAAAGTCGAGTATTAGTGTTATCAAGTGAACGATCACGAGATTAGAGGAACATGTATCACGCATGGAAGATGTGAGAAATGTATACAAAGTTTTGGCGAAAAATCCTGAAGGAAAAATATTAATTGGGAGGATAATATTAAGACATGTCTCTGGGAATTATTGTGCGTGGGGTGGAGGCGAGGGGAAGCTAGAGGCGAACAGCGAAGGAGTTTCGATAGCCGCCATAAAAAAGTTCCACTAAAATTAAATCGTACGCACTGCACGGCTCGGAAGCATGCTGCATCTCGATATATCTCGAATCGACAGTTTTAGGCTGGGAGTGATTTTTTTCAACGCAGGATACAGGGCGTTCGTCTTAAGACTTAATAAACCACGAGCTCTGTTTCACATGACGAATTACCTTAATCTCATTATGACAATTGTACAGAGTCCCGAAACAGTAATGCTGATAATATTATGTTTCAGGTCGCCAACCAAGTAATGTCCTACACCATGTTCTTGGTCAACGTGAGAGACGAAAATGACCGCGCGTAGTCTCGCTGGTGGAAGCATTTGGAACGTAGTCAAGTAACTTCTGTAACACACAAGCCACTTCAATTATCATCACATATCCCACTTCTATCAGAATTGTTTTTGTGCACATTTTCAATTAAAGAAAAACATTGAATTTGGTTTGTGACTTTCATCGCTGTAAAGAGCTCAGTTCTCAGAACACTATATTATTATTATTTAAAAACTGAATAATATCCTGATGTATGATAGTCTTAACAATTCAATTATTGAAATATATTAGCAGTTGAATACTCATTATTAACCAAATTAATTTCCCTTCATTGTTGAACTTCCAACACCGTATGACATTATTGTAATACAGAACGTGTAATTTTAAATTCAAACCAACAATGATCACGTAATAGAGAACAAATATAACAATGTGAGAAAAATGTCCGCCTGCCTTTAACAGACTCTCCCAACATTTCCTGCGATATTCGAGTCAAGGCAACCATTGTTGGTCGGTCGCTCCTAATATTTGTGTCACCAAAGACTGTTGCAGTTAGATGCTGCTTTTAAAACGAACAATCTCTGCATCTGAGACAAAAAGTCCTAGGTGGTCTAGCGGTAAGAACGCTGGCTTTGTAATCCTGGGGTCTCGGGTTCGATTCCCGGCGGTGCTCAAATTTATAACTTGTGTTGGGCAAGGCCGTGGTCTAGGCAACACGGAGTTTTCCTCCGTGGCATCCCAACAATTACTCCATTCACACACAGAAGAAGGCAAGGGCAAACCACTTCTGGATCATCTGCCAAGAACGTATATGAACAGGGCCCAGTCCGAGAAAAAGATGGAAGGATTTTCCACCCATCACCGGTCTGATTATCAGGACAAGACGTCCACGTAGGCCTCAGAAACTTTTATCCACCCACTGGAGTAATTAAATAACAATGGTCAAAGAACAATTAGACGACGAAACATCGCAGTCCAAAGAACTCGTTTAATATTTCCTTTGGAAAATAGCCAAAGGTCGCTTTCTAAGTAAAAACGACATAAAGCCTCGAAACACTCATACGACCATTGAACGAATATATTAACACAGCTTCGAGACGTCATAGCCCGTACTTCCCCACTGTCCACGGGTGTTCCGCTCGGTCCAGTCAGCTGTCGCAGTGATATAAAAGGAAAAGCTACCAGCTGCAGCTACCACAGCCCCGCCAGACTCTCAACAGCAGTTATCGGTAAGTACGGACTCTGTTATACAACTACAAGAATATCAATTAATATGTTTAATTGCGGTTTCCTTGGGGACGCTGTTAGTAGGTCGAATGATGAGATGATTAATGAACGATCGATATGGGAGGAAGCAGTCGTCGATATTTCCTGGTGTGACTGAAGAAAACCACGAAAAACTTCAATCATGATAGCTGGTGGATAGAAGGAAAGAGGAAAAGAGAGCCAGGGTGGTTTTAGAGTGATTAGACACCCACCTCTTGCAAAAGATTAACAAAAAATTAAGTCCTGTGTGTGGTCAGCGATGTCAGAGTGACTTATATATCGACACAACTTAACATGAAACAGAAATCGAATTCTTAAATACTGTCTGTATTAATTTCTAGCCAGTTGAGGTTTTCTCGAAATTTTATTTTTTCTTCTCAGGCTACCAACTTCAACGATGTCCAGGGTCCTCTTTTTGTTTGTCAGTGTTGCCACTATTATGGTTTTAATTACACTAAACGAAGTGTCCACCAGCAGCCCGATGTGTTACGAAGTGGGAAAGAAGGTGAGTGCCAACCAAACAAAGGAATACGATAAATGCCCATTCTTGACCGACGTTTCAGAGATGCTTACTGCCTTCATCATTATTATCATCGCCCTAATTATGGAGAGAGTTAATATGACATTATTCCGTGTTATGTGTTTTTTTCATAAAGAAACCAATGTTACATGTTGCAGTGCCCTACAAGCCCAAGCTTCTGCTGTGGTGGTTGCTGCAAGAACGGCTTTTGCATCAAGTGTAAGTGTCTGTTGTACAGAATGATGCAATTAAATGACTGTACTAATGACTATCATTATCATCCAATATTTTTTTTCCCCACCAGGACAGATCGTTTCATTAGCCGCGAGCTGAGTTCGTCATTTATTGATATTAATTACCTCGATTCAAAAAAATATATATATTGTAAAATCATAAGCGGTACTCAGTAGTTAAGATATATCCAATTGTTTAAGTAACTCGAACGCAAAGCTCAGTCAACATCTTCATAAAGTTTCTCTTCCAACACAGAATGATTTATTTCGTATCTTCATCTTTCTGTCCTCTTAACACCTAAATCTCGTTCGTAAGTGCTTCTAAACGCTGCCTTATGGTAGCAGCACTCAGCGTCTTTACCAAAAACTCTTTGACTTTCGGCTTTCAGATGATGACAATCCTGATTACTGCGCCAACAACCCCTGTGCCATCGAGTACTGTCCCCAGGGGCAGGAGTGTCACGTCGGAGAGCCTCTGGCGTGTTCTGGTCCCCCCTGCAGGAAATCCACGTTCTGTAAACCCAAACACTAGCAGGAGGAACGTCTTTGGCGCCCAGAGCAACAGTCGACGCATTGCGTCGGCACGCGTCGATACCGGAGGACACCTTCAAACCCATCATTAAATTAATTCTCAGCTGTATGAAAGATTCACGTCGTATATCTTCATAGTAACGATGATTTTGTAAAAAATAAATATTTGTGTCACCTGTACCAATGCTTCTGTGAAAATATAACCAAATCGCATCCTCTCTCTGACTTGTTTCGATGTCTTTAGGTTGAGCCGAGTGTAGTGGCTAAGCTGTGGGCTGTGTGGCCGGGGTTCGGTTCCCGGCAAGGACACGGATTTTCCTGTTCACTATAAACAGACCTGTTCCAAGTCCACCCAGCCTCCTAACCCATGGGTACCAGGGTTCTTTTATAGGGGGTAAAATTCCGGGACGCTAAACAAAACATCCACCTCTATGTTGATCCGAGGTTCAGAATGCATGGATCTATACATCCACTCCCTCCATACGCCTTCGTGGCGTTGTGTTCAATTAATAGCCACGCGCTGATTAATTACGAGTGTGTTCTAGCAAGTGATATCTTGTGGGCCAACACTACGAGGAAGAGAAGACAATCAAATAAGACAATGGAAAATAAAAATGCGATGAAACAAGGCTATGTGACGTCAGTACCCGGTGCTACCCCGCTGCGTTATTCTAAGGCTTCTGAAGGACGCAACTCACTGATATGTCTCAGTTGAAAGCGCTTCGAAAACCATTATAGATGACAGGATAATATTAAAGTGAGGTTAAGGTCGTCTTCAACTTGAGAAGAAACTTAGAAATACTTTACGACGTTCACAAATTAAATCTGCCTCCTCAACACGGCATAATTTTAATGCAATTTGTGCGGAAACGCGCTGAGCGTCTCTATGAATAAAAATTTCAATTTAGGCTTTTTTTGTTAATTTTTATACGACTCAGTCACTGAATTAACAGGCGGGGAAAACTTTAGAGTGCAGTCCAGATAAAAAAAATTCAATTCAATAATACAATTAATAACATCCTCTAAATGCGAATAATGTTGACAACGCGTATTTAAAATTTTGCAATAGAAATGCCGATTCTTTTTAACAAATGCGTTTTAAAACGATCTCTCTGCGTAAATAAGGAAGTAAGGCTTACGTGCGGTTTTAGGCTGTAGGTAAGCTACGCGGTCTTCAAATAATCACGAAGGATATCCGACATTTGGTTTCCTGTAGCAGTAAAATCATGTAGACAAGTTTTGTGGTTACAGTTACTAGAGTAAGTAAGTAATTCCTAAAAATTTTTGTAACGCATATAACAAGTCATTGCGAGAAAATGAAGGATTTGATTTCAAAGACAAAATAACATTGACAAATTTAAGAAGAAGCGACGCAGCACACGCATGGTCGATAAGACAAATGCGTACAAATTATTAGTGAGAAAACCCGAAAATAAGAGACCAATTGTGTGGAGACCTAAACGTAGATTTAAGGGTAATATAATATTAAAAACGGATGTTGCTGATAGGGAATAAACTGCGAAATGTATTAGACTTGCTTTATGACAGTATCTAGCGGAGAGTTTTATGGTAACCTGCATTGAATCTCCGGGTTTTTGCGCTCACTTAACCTGCTGGTTCATTATCCGATCATTTAATGACGTGGATGCATTCTCACAAGTGTTCGTTCCACGAATTTTTCATGACGCGAGAAGTTACGACGCGCGTAAGACGGTATTGAAAACTTCTGCTGGTGACTAGGAAACAAGTGGATCGGGGAATAACAAACAACATAGTTTCTGGAGCCTACATCAGTCGTTCGTCCTTGTCATTGAATTGGGAAATACAACATAAGAAAGAATTTATCAGCATCGAAGCCTTCATATTACGTAATTCTGATTAAATACATTACACGTGTCATTTATACATGATTTCGAATGTCCGACGCTGTTTGCCAATATAAGACGAAAATCAACATACACAGTTTGAGAAAAATTGGGTTACCACGTTCTAAATCTGGTGTGTGGACGCTGAGGAAAGGTTATTATGAACGAAGACGTCCTCTGTGTACAGAGGAAGACAGTATTGTTAAAATACTCGGCAAAAATTAAGCGCGGGGATTATTTTTAAGGACAAAATTGCTTCTTTGTAATAAAGACTTGGTTTATAAGAGAATAATAAATTTACTAATCTTGTGTAACCAAGGAATGTAAGAAAATGCCTTTATATAATTAAATGTAAATGGGAGAATAAAATAATTAACATGTAATAGGGAAGGGGGAATAGAAGCATTATTATGAGAACAACTATTGTACAGTAAGAGAATATAGTTACATCAGAGCTACGGACGACAAACGCGGTATTAGGTCGACACAGAAAACTCGACTGAATAAATTATTAAATACGGGAAATACGAAGCAAGATTGCGACGGCCGAACTATCGGTCCAGAGGCCATGTTGATGTGACGTCGCTGAGCGGTATATCCCCGTTCAGAGATCCAACTTTCCTGCACGGACTTTACCACAGCGCCATATAAAAACAGCGAAGACCTTGTTACAGCTGGCTTTCAAGATCTGGAATCATCGACAGACAGGTAACCGCGGAGGTTGGTATCTTTGAACCACTTCGAGCGTGTTTGAACATCGGTCGCGTGACTATTTTCTTACATGCCAACGTTGGCACAGAACTTTCTAGACCTCCGTTCGGAAGGTACCGAGTTCGAGACTTGTTCTCCGTTGTCGCGGAAACGTTACGGTATTTTAAGACGGTTGTTTTCTGTGCATTGTAGTGTAGTCTACCAGACTACACAGCACTACAGCCATCTTCACAATCACCGCCGTGTGAACCTCAAATCCTACTAAATGATATTCATTCACTTGAAAGGCCGACACGCAGATTGGAAGATCGTAATATTGAAATTAATCTTAAGGTTCTGATAATGTGCATTGGACTGATGTTTCTTTTAAGTTCCAATGGCGGACATTTAAAAATTACCGTTTTCTGTAGAACGACACGACTTTTAAAACAAAAAACAAATCATGACAAAAAAATTGGCATCTTAATTTCCTTCATCAATTATCACTTCATGTGTATTTTTAATATCCAGAATCATGTGGTTCTCAGAAAGACCCCCCCCCAAAAAAAAAACAGAACCCATTCACTCAACAGTTCTAATGTAACTCGGTAGGGGGTCCTCAGTTTTCAACGTTGTTGGTGTGATGGATTGGGAACCCCCCCCCCCGATGTGAAATTCTTACATTTGCAGGGATTTACGTTGTGTTCACAGAATCTAAAAAGAAAAATGACCAAGTTCCTGTTGTTCCTGGCCAGTGTTACCACCCTGATGGTACTAATTACCCCACGACATGTGGCTGCTTCGTCACCAGCGTGCTACGGTCCAGGAGAACGGGTGAGTGTCCTCTGCTGGAAGTCTGTACAAGATTCAGAATATGTACATAACATTGTTATAAATACTAAGTAAAGGACAGAATGGGCGGGGCCATGTAGCACGCATTTAGACGATGAGAAACGTGTCTAATTTTTAAATAGGAATACCTGAAGAAAACACGCCAGTTTGGAGAACCGGGCGCTGAGATGTGGATAATATTAAAATGAACTGTTAAAGAGACAGGGTGTATGAGGGCGTGGACTGGATCCCACTACTCTTCCAATGTGTTAAACTTCAATCCAATCTAGTGAGCGAGAATTTTCTTTCTCGGTGAATTAAATAGGTCTACACTTAATCCATGTAATTAATGTAGCCCTAAGATTATCACTGTTACATAAAACCCGTGTTACATGTTGCAGTGCCCAGTGTCCCCATCTTTTTGTTGTGGTGGATGCTGCAAGAATGGCGTCTGCATCTTGTGTAAGTGGCTTTAATATCATTGGCATTTACAAAAAATCAAAATGTATACATCTCAATTGAATAACAATTTTCTTGGATATTATCCATCGTCTAGTAAATATAAAACGTAAAACGACGTTTCGGAGATGGGACTGTATCTCCGTCTTCAGGTTCTCCGGAGATAGGGATTAGCTCTATCTAGTGGGCCCAACTGTGTAGGAACCTGAATACGGAGATAGAGTCCCATCTCCGAAACGTCGTTTTACGTTTTATATTTACTAGACGATGGATAATATCCAAGAAAATTTTTATTCAATTGACTCTTCACCATCGTCAAGAAGTTTTAGATTTGATATGTATACATCTCGTACAAATAGGAGCTAATTGTACCTCACATCCAAGTGGAGCGGATGAGTGTCTCGACATTTTTAGCGTGGTAACACACTTAGATAAGATTGAATATCGTACAGTAATCAATCATCATGTATCATTATAAAGGTCTCTGTGTGTGTAGTTCGGAAAAACAATGTAATCGTTTCACCATAAAAAGTCGTCATCTTAAAATGTAAAACATTCGCGTAATAAAAGTGCAACCGTATCAGAATAGCTTCAGAGTACACAAAGCTGGTTTTGAATCTGACCTCACGTTCTTTTCAGACGACGAAGACCCTGACCTCTGCGCCAGTCCGTGCTCCCAAACGTACTGCCCTGCAGGAGAGGTTTGCGTTGTGCCCGAAATCTGCAAGAGGCCCCCGTGTTCCAACCTGTCCGCTGGAATTTGCTTACCTAAGACGTAAACGCCACAAAACACAGGACCTGTTTCTGCTGTAATTCTATGAATTTCTTGTGGTAGGATTGGATTTTAAAAAACAATAAACCACGACAAAGTGTTGTATTTTATGGAGCCATGGCTTGGATCATAAAATATAAATGAAAAACACAGGAAAATCTTAGACAGACAGACTTAAATCACCGTGCATGAGAAAAATGGATACATAGGAAACATAAGGTTAAAAGATTTAAAATGAAAAGACCTTTAAGAAAAAAATTTAATTAAGTATTGCATTGTTAATTATAAGAATGTACAAGTCACTGGAACACAACTTTCAAGATGAATGGCCACACAAAGGATTAATCTTTATTTCGTGGTATTTAGGGATTCAAAATCCCAAATTTTTGGGCTCGCTGACCAGACTTTTTAACTCAACAGTTAACAAGCACGGCCAGCTGGATTACGTTCAGACGGAAATGAACGGATGACACAGGTTAAATACACAAAGGAACACGATACTAAGTTAAAACTACAGCGAGAGTACAGTGGTCTTCCATTCCAACATTTTTATAGATTCCACATTGGCACACAGAATGTTCATAATAAAACTTACAGTATAAATAATTTGCCAGGAAAATGTCTGACATATATATAAAAGTACGTGGTATGAATTCTTCATATAGTTCTATATACGAAACGTGATACAGATTTTTTTAAACATCGTACATTATGGTGATTACAAAATATGTTTTACGAAATCACATTTCAAAATACCTGGAGAAATACAAAATATTCAGAAAAAAAATTTTGGACTCATTTTTTGTTTCCTATAATTTAAAGCACCATCATACAATGAGCAAATTACTTACAATTATCGCACGTAGGAACTCGTGTCGTGCAATTTCGGTGAACTAGAAATGCATTTTCGTATTACTACAAAGACAAGACACACAAAATGGAAATACAAAGTCTTTTCGTAATAAGAGCACTGGAATCATATTTTTTAAATATTGGTCCACTCTGGAATACACATCGACAAATTACACACTTTCTCAATATGACTAGCATTTACAGCGTGGAATATACAGGACATACCAGTTACCGTCTGTGATCCAAAATCCATTTGGCTTAAGTTAAATCAGCAGGTAATTAATTACAAATTGGGTCTGTTTGCAGTCCGCAGTATCACGGACAACCCCAAATTACTGTGCAGTCGGTTTATATTATAGAACGAGAATTATAAAAAAAGAAATTAAAACTAATAATTTAATTAAGTGATATAGGTTCAGTAAAGGGGCACAGATACGTCGTTGTAAGTATCTTAAGTGGCATGAATTCAGTTTAACTGACAAGATATTTTGCAATTTCCTTATCAGACGACAAGGCTTCAGGTAAATTACACGGACGTATAATTACAAAAATTTTATCTGCAGAATATATTTTTATTATGTACACGTATGCTGCACGATGTCGAATTTATTAAATATGATGAAATTTTTTTTTAAAAAAAAAACATTTTCTTTATGTACAAAATTCTGATACAAAAATTGTTTTAAATATATAAAAGGAAAGAATTATCACAGGCGCAAACAGAGGTGAGTAGCACACAATTTGTCTGCCTGTTTTACCTGCCGATATCTCAGAAAAGTCCCTCCGCAAATAGACTGCCTTAGCATAATATTTACAACAAATATTACTTTATTAACCATAAATTACGATTTTGATCCTTGCATTTGGAGCTTTCTGATTCTTGACTGCACGGACTCGCATTTAACCTCACTGACTCTGCTATACTTCCCAGCCTTCAGCTCCCTAATGACGACGATGTTTCCATTGCGTTCTCGCAAGAAATCGACCTTTCGTGTTGACGAAGTGTTGTCGCCGCTCACAGATGTCAGCACCACCTTATTCAAAATGGACGTGTGCGCGGCTTTGGCAAACTGTTTATGCGGTACAGTAGAGAAAACGTTCTTTTCTCGTGTATTCTTCATTCCTGTGTTTACCTGCAGAATTTGAATTGAATTGAGCAAAATCCCTGGAAAACGTTTCACTGTACGAATACCTCAATGCTCTGTCATTCCTCGTACCATTTAGCATTCCCGTTGTATCCCAGAGATTGTGGTTTGTTGATGAGCACGAAACATAATTTCCTCCGGGATAAGGTCGTCCATTTATTTTGGAATAGTTATATTCCAGTAAGGAGTCGTCCAGTGAGATGATACTAGATCGATCACTTGATGAATCTATCGACATTTCACTAACAGTGTCACTTCCTGAATCGCTACTCGAATGGTCAGAGTACGAATGACCATTCTCTGACGTCACAGTAGTTACTGGGCCGTTTATCAACATCGGAGCTGCACCGTTACCAAGGGATGTTTCGTCTTCCGAATCGTCGATAATGAAACATCTTCTAAACGTGTACACACAATCTTTATTATCCATTACCCTTCTTGGGGTCTCTTTTTCCGTCTTCGTCGACACATTCAGATTCTGTTTCCTCTGTATTTCAGTTGTTTCTGTACCACGTGATAAATGGCTGAGTTTATTAAACCTACCGCCACCACTTAAAGGCATCGTATGCGTGGCAGTGGCTTTGGTTGCTGACCGTACACTAACGTACGTACAATTATTATTTTCAACCTTACTTTTAACATTTAGGGGTTCATTTATTCTTGGGCTCTTATTTATTTCGTACGTCGAGGTCGATAAATTGTCTGGTTTCTCTACTGTAGGTTTAATTTCGACAACGTTGTTATTTTTGGTATTTGCCAGTTCAATGTAACTCTGTGCTAAATTTTCCATGTTCTTCATGAAACGACTTCTCCTAGAGAAGCTGAGGCCTACTCTTTCCGGAGTTGATTCGTCTTGAGACACGACAGATGTCAGCGTAGAAGATGTCTCCGTGGTCTTTGCGTATAGAATGCTATTCTCCTTGGGTCTATGAACGCTAAGACTTGTCGGCGACGTTTTCGAAGTGACTGTTGTTTCGTGGCTTGACACAGTTTGGCTTACGATATTTTCTTGCTTTCTCAATACGGTAGGAGACGACAATTTGATCTGAACCTCCTCTACTTTGGCAATTACGGCTTCACAGCACTTGACAGGTGTTGGCACAGGCTGCAGAGTGATTGGCTCGCTGTTTGTGAACCACTGATGTTGAAGGCATTCTATGGCACTTAATCGCTTACTGCAAATAAACGAAAACATTTTAAATTACAAAACAGACCAAATGTAACCTGAACACAGCAACAAATGAATGGAAAAATTTCTTACAGATTCTTAGCAATAGAATCAATATTACAAATAATCTTACCTTGGCTCCTTGACCATTAACTTTCGCATAAGGTCCTTGGCATCCTCAGAAACATCCTCGAATAAGTCGTCGGGGAAGTCGAGTTTGCACTGTGAGATGTTACAAAATGTCTCTTGTTTTGTATCACCACCAAAGGGGGAGCAACCAGTCAGAAGCACATACAGCAGAACTCCAACAGACCTGCCCACACAACACATCATCACCTACTCTGTACTATATTTACGCAAACATAAATTGTCCAAATACTTTCAGAAGAATGTGTACCAAGGAAATTCATTCACAATAAAACAATCTTTCAATGAAGACTTCTCTTAAGTAATTCAAATAAAAAGTTTTATGATTTGAAGCTTTCGCGGCGACGTAATTCAATAAAATCTTCTCGGGCGATTAGTTGCGTCAAATGGTTAAAAGACAAAAAAACCGACGTTTCGGGGACCATCATCAATGTTGTGATCAGAACCCCAATTATGGAGGCAGGGATGGTTCCTGAAACGTCGGTTTCGTCTTTTAAGAATTAACATTATATACTGGGATGCTCATTACATTTAGAAAAATATATTTATTTTCATATCGACATACATTTTCTCTTTGTCCCTGTTTTGATAAACTCGCATCTAATCATGTATTTCATTATGCTTCACATTAGCTGAATACAACCCGAGGTCGGTGTTAAGAAATAAGGACTGTGCTTCTTATATTTCGAGACAGCTTTCTCCAGAAGGTACAACACGTTAATACGAGACCGAAGTTCCATAAAAATCAGTTTCACTAATTCCTGTTAAGAACGCAACAACCAAACCGTGAAAGTACAGCACTTACCACATATCTGTTGCTAGGCTGATGGGTTCATAGTTCAATACTTCTGGAGCTGTAAGAGAAATAGAAAGCATTATACTGCAGCCCTAACCTACTTAGCTTCAGGAATGCACTAGGTAAAGTGTCGATACTCTGAAGCTGTACTGCCAACTTAAATTTCAAAATATTAAAAACTAAAATTTTGAACCGTAGGCACAATGTCGTATGGGCTGGACACGTAGACATAAAATACATAAAAGAAATACACACACATTTGGGTTAAAAAGAACTCATGGTATTGGTCTACTCCTGAGACCAGAATATTATTAAAATTGATAATTAAAATTTTAACTTAATGAACATCTTGAAAATGTCAACCAATCAGAATAACTAAAACCCAATCTTAAACTAATTAACTTAATTGTAGATGTAATTAGCTTAAGGAGAACTAATTTTTTTTCCTCAATTTGCTGTAGATATCAACACAAGCAATTATCATTGTTTAACAGAAAACGTCATTTCGGACATCGTTAACTATTTGACGACTGAAGATAAAACTCCACTCACACTTTCGATATATATCCCAAGTAACGTAACAAATATTTGGATTTTGAAAAACTAAAACTTTCAGAACTAGTAAATAACAAACTGCAAGTACAACTTCTATGTCTAATGACATCAATTTTCCAACCACCTTGAAATCAGCGTTCAAAATAATTATGAAACTTGTATTTCACAAAGCGACTTAAAACGAACAGATGGAGTATATGTAAGTCACACACAGCAAAATTAGCATTTTCCAAGCATTGCCTTGTTTACTTGCAAAACTGCCAACATTACATCACTTAATTCCACAAGACCTTGTTTCGGCCCAATACGACTGCAATTCAACGTTACACAATTCTAGAATGTCCATACACTAAAATTATCTAACACTTTCATAACATATTTAAGAATATACGGCCCTATATTTAACCTTTCAAAGCCCAGTGGTAAACATATGTACCATATATTCTAATACTCAGTACCTCTGTACTCTTTATTTATACGTCCCACATAATTCACTGAGTAAACTGTAATTATGTCCTGAAACAGCACTAAAACTGGTCAATGTAACGGTGAAGTGTTGTGTTTTCTTTGAGGTACGGACTGAATTCTTATATATAATTTAGACAAGCTTTAGTTTTGAACGAGTTAAGGTATGTGCCACTGTTGCCCATAACAAGAAAATAAAGTACTTAAGAATATACCACAAAATGTCTTCATAAGTAGATAAAGCAACTTACCAACATAATCAGGAGTGCCCAGAATGTCCCTGATGTCTGCACCTTGGCTGATGTAGCGTGAGATTCCAAGATCACACAATTTCACTTCACCGTGAGGGAACTCATTCATCAGTACCAGATTCTGAGGCTGCAAACAAATCAAACACTGAGCAACGACTAATGACGTGAAGTGTCCCACGTAACTCGGAACCCACCTACGAGCATGCGACCTCGCTGCTGCTGATACTGATGCATGCTATCGTGGCGAGTTTCACTGTTAGTGGGACATATGTACTGTAAAATTGTCTACCCTGAATATACCTCTAAAACGTCGTGAGAACTCTTGATTCTTGATCAATCACTGCCAGCACGATCAAGATCAAGGATGATGAGATGAATGGGACATTCAGCACGCAAAGTAATATGAGAAATGCATACACATTTTCTGTTGGAAAACCTCGATGGAAGGGACAAGTCACAAGGCCTAACCAAAAACGTGAGGATAATATTAAAATGGATCTTAATTAAATAGTGTTGAGGATAAGGACTGGATGTACAGGGCAGGGAAAGTTCGCAACCTCTCGTGAGAATGGTAATGAACCAAAACATTTAACTAGCTGAGCGACTTATAGCTTCTCCATAAGAACTCGCTTCTTGGCGATAGTTATTTAACTATGTTGTATAAACCAAAAACAGAAATGGAATAAAATACTTTTTGCAACGAGTCTCTTACCATAACAAGTTACGGCCACATTCTTCGTGTAAGAGTGGACCAAAAGAAGTAGACGCAATACGCCTGTTAAGACTGTGTAGTTATCTTGTTAATAGCCCACCTTTGGCTTTCAGAATATTTTTTTTTTACGGGTGTAACTCTAAAGTGTTTCGAGAATCAAGAATTCGGTCTGAAGCTGAACACCTGGGTCTGACGAGGTTAACAAGTTTCAGGCTGCAATTTTTAACTTTTTCCTGTAGGTACAGGTTTGCTCATAAGTTACTACATAAACACCTTTCCGCACATTGCACTTGCATAGATGTTAATTGATTTCTATATATGATCAGAACTCCGAGAGACGGCGTTTACTTCGAATACAAGCCAAAATAACTCCTGATGCTTTTATTTTCAGAGTTCATTGTGTAGCTTCCTTATTTGAACAGAACTTTCTCAGAAGCAGATTAAGTTCTATGCAAATGTCTGACATATAGAAATAAGAATTTTGAGATTAATAAAAAAAGCAGCTAAATGTGAGGCGAGAAATTATTTGAGCAGGTGGGACTAATTTATTTAAAATACACCACTAAGTTAAAAAGTAAATAAACATTTACTGTGAAGATTCTAAATTCTCACGGCAAAGACGTCGAGAGGACTAATACGTCCCTACCTGGCGAGTCAACACAGCATCACAATCCAGAACAACTACTCTGACACTGCGGAAGTTCAAATGCAAAAAAATGTACAAACAAAAAAACCTGTCTGGTTAACAACTTTCTAATGGAACTGTACTGCAGTCATTCTGTAACACTCAATTCAGTAAATGAATTCCCCAGCTTACTTCACAGCCAATCAATCTATGCATGAGTGGGTTAAGAGTCAGTCTTAGTCCCTTTCAGTAAAACGCATTCAAATATAAACGTGGTCTGGAATTTAAAGCGTACCTTTCAGTGCAATGATCACGGTAAAGAAACCTCCAAACGTGGCACAAAGTTTAGGGCATTCGTCTCAGTTATTACGGTCACAGCATGAAAGTGGCTGGCACAACATCATGTCAACAGATAACATTTCAGACAAGGGCAAAGAAAAGAGTCCCTACGTCTAGATGTATGTTCATATTGTAAGACTTGAGGTTTTCACAGTGGTGAGTATGAAGATTTCTGTCTTCTGGGTTCTTGCGCTGTGTAGTCTGGTCGATGTTAACCAACGTTTCAGAGGTCATACTACCTCCGTCATCAGGGCGATGAAGATTTCGGTCTTCTGGGTTGTTGCGCTGTGTAGTCTGGTCGCCCTGATGACGGAGGCAGTATGACCTCTGAAACGTTGGTAAACATCTACCAGACTACACGGCGCAACAACCCAGAAGACGGAAATCTTCATCGCCCTGATGACGGAGGTAGTATGACCTCTGAAACGTTGGTTAACATCGACCAGACTACACGGCGCAACAACCCAGAAGACGGAAATCTTCATCGCCCTGATGACGGAGGTAGTATGACCTCTGAAACGTTGGTTAACATCGACCAGACTACACGGCGCAACAACCCAGAAGACGGAAATCTTCATCGCCCTGATGACGGAGGTAGTATGACCTCTGAAACGTTGGTTAACATCGACCAGACTACACGGCGCAACAACCCAGAAGACGGAAATCTTCATCGCCCTGATGACGGAGGTAGTATGACCTCTGAAACGTTGGTTAACATCGACCAGACTACACGGCGCAACAACCCAGAAGACGGAAATCTTCATCGCCCTGATGACGGAGGTAGTATGACCTCTGAAACGTTGGTTAACATCGACCAGACTACACGGCGCAACAACCCAGAAGACGGAAATCTTCATCGCCCTGATGACGGAGGTAGTATGACCTCTGAAACGTTGGTTAACATCGACCAGACTACACAGCGCAATAACCCAGAAGACGGATATCTTTATGTTCATATTATTTCTCCAAACTTGCTCCAAGATCTGCCCATCTCTGCCTCCGATTAAATTAAAAACTGCTTAAAGCCGTTTCCAGCATCTTGAATCTAGTAGCATAAATTCCATTGCCACTGACTTAAGCCACTGTCGCACGTACCGACCACTCTGTCCCACAGTCCCTAAATTGGTGCTGCTGCATATGGGATGGACAAGTCCCGATAGAAGATGTTATGTTTGTTATTAGAGCCCAAGAGGGGGAGGAGGGGGCTGTTAATATGAAGCATTTAATTTCTCACGCTCGTTCTGGGTCAACTACCCCTCACACATCCTGTTGTCACCATCTTTTGCCACTGCCCTTCGGTGAGGCCATCAATTAAACTCACTTCTAGGAACCTAAGACACTCTGAGACAGTCGCTTTTGTGCTTCAACAGAAGACACGACTTTAATTCCATACGAAGACACTAAAGTGTCTTCGTAAAACCATACTTCGCGGTCACATGGTTCGATTCTTGTCCCGGAGGTCGGATATCGCGAGGCTTTTCGTGGTTTCCCTTGGTTCTGGTGTTTCGGTGCTACTTACTGCCTCCGTCATCACGACGATGAGAACCTCAAATATCACCCACTGTTAACAACTGTCACTTTCAACACTTTAAGGTCTACGTAGTTGAACAGACAAGAGTTCCTTTCTTTTAGATTTTACTCGGTTCCTTGTTAAATACCACGAGGTTTTTACGGCGATTTGATTCCAGTGCAGAGCTTTCTGGACACCGTGTGTCGAAAAGGTAAACATGGCGACATTTCAGAGGGAACTACCTCAAAAACCGAGAACATTCGACAGTCTGACGATCATGATAATGTTTGTGCTGTGGTAATTCGACATATAATCAACGTACATTTTGAAATCGATTTGATTCAGACGTTGCGCTTACAGGATGTACCAAAAATATGTACACATATATTTAACGAGTGAAATAAAGACATTTTAATAAACCGAACTATTGCAAACGTCACCACTGGCACTTAGTGAATTTGCGAACCGAGTGTAGGGGTTCACAATTATCACCGGGACACAGTCCACCTCGGCGAGTAAATGACGGACAAGCATACACCAGTGTGTGTAAATGTAATTTTTTTGGGGACACCCTGTATTTTCATGGACTAACCCTAACTCTTGTATCTACTACAACCAGACCTGCTAGCGACCTTCGTGCATGTAGAGGTAATGACATCATACCTACATGCGTCCATCAAAATGTTCAAAAGCAAAGAATCACTTCGCATCACCGACGTAACGAGCAATTCCAACAACTTCATTCTGTTATTATTATTCTACATTTTGCACAATTATCTCGTTTAGATAAATTTCAATTAACATTATTATGTATCTTAAAAACCTTGCATACCGTTTAGTGTACAAAACAAAACTGTTTACACTAAATTCCTTTATAGTGTAAACAGTTTTGTTTTGTACACTTATTTTTATATTATTATGTATATTTTTTAAGTCTTTCTGAGAATCCATCCACGAAATGCAAACACAATGATTTTTCTTTTTATTTATTACCGTAAAACAAAACAGAGAAATATAAAACAGCAGTCCTGCCAACTCAACTGCGACATTATTCTCCTTCTTTACCACTGTCTTCCTTTTAATTCCTCCTCTCTTTCTCTCCCTTCTTTAACTTTTATTTCCTTTCAGTCATCATCTCTGTTCGTCTTTTCCCTTTGCAAAGAAACAAGGGCAAACACCCATTATCCAAGAGGTATTTGAACCCAGGTACCCATGAGTACGCACATCCCAAGACCACAGGCGTTCATATTCCACCTTTTAAAATAGACGTCTCCAGTGGACATAAACCCAATTATTTGTGTGTTAGGATGAAGAGATTATTCAGCTGATTTAACTGAGCACTTCTATGTGCACCTTTTAACCCTTTGAAGCCGAAGATCGTCTGAATATTATTTATGAATTCAGTCCGTACCGCGAAGAAAACACTACACCTCACCATTACGAAAATCAGCTGGTTAACCCTCTGAAGCCGAAGCTCGTCTTCATAATATTTACGAATCCAGACCGTACCGCGAAGAAAACACTTCACTTAACCATTAGAAGTCGAATCACATAAGATTTAACAAAAGAACATCCCGGTCAAAGCCTTAAGAAGGTCACGTTTCGACAGAGCAGCGGTTACACACAGGACGCTGTTAGTGGTCACGTGAATAGATCTGGCGCATTTTTCATCCTGTGTTACGATCTGCACACAAAAACCTGATCACACAAGTCATCGACTGAGAGATATGACGTATTGACATCTCTT